AACTCTCATCTCTACAGAGCTTCTGCAGGCATTTGGTCCCAATTTTGCTTCTTAAATATGGTTTTAGGTTTTGTTTACAACTTTTAAAAAACAACAGTGCACAGATTTACATGTTGTATGTACAACATTTTAACTGATGGAGAAGCTAATTTGCTGCCAGGTTTTTGTGGAGACCTAAAAATGTTACTGCCACCTACATATATTTAAACTTCTCCTTTAAAATTTTTTTTTGTTTATAACTTCTTATAAATGTGCAATTGATGACTTTTATTATGGCACCGGTTTTTGCTTAAATGAAGGCCCACCTTTGTCTACTTGGTTAAAATTGTACAAGTTCAGTACTTCCTGTAGAGTACTGTATCATTCTCTGTTACATGCCATTTGGAGGCTGGGCGTGGTGGCTCACGCCTGTAATCCCAGCGCTTTGGGAGGCCGAGGCAGGCGGATCACCTGAGGTTAGGAGTTTGAGACCAGCCTGGCCAACATGGTGAAACCCCATCTCCACTAAAAAATACAAAAATTAGCCAGGCATGGTGGCGTGCACTGTAATCCCAGCTACGTAGGAGGCTGAGGCAGGAGAATCGCTTGAACCCAGGAGGCAGCGTATTAGGAGGAGGCTCATTATTTTTTACTTACTGACTTGGTAATAAGTCAGTATTACAAATTCAAACTTAAACGCAACTACTTTTATTGATTTTTACATATATTTATATGTAGTTAATTATCAAGTTATTAACCCAAATAAAGACAAATACTCTAATCTCAATATGAGTGAATTCAATAGAATTTTAAGATTTCTGAAGTTATAAAATGTTGTGGTTCTAGCTCTGCTATGTTATGCCATCATCCAGTGCAAGATGTGCTCAGTTTCCTCGAGCCCAAGACAAAGTTCATTACTACATAAAACTGAAGGACTTAAGAGATCAGTTGAAAGGCATTGAACGAAATATGGATGTTCAAGAGGTGCAGTATACATTTGACCTACAGCTTGCCCAAGGTACGTTACTGTCCTCATTCCTTTTATTCATTTTGTGTCTATATATACACACATACACATTACATAAAGTATGTTGTGGATTTAAAAGCAGGAGAAAAGAAAACAATTATATTTGTAGCCACAGTGCTCTGATAATGGATGATTATCACGCACACACAGATGTTATCACACACACTCTGATAATGGATACACACACACACACACACACGTATTACAGAAAGTATTTTGTGGATTTAAAAGCAGGAGAAAAGAAAACAATTATATTTGCAGCCAGAATGCTCTGATAATGAATATTAGTCACTGTTAAAATCTCCTTTTACCAAGGTCTTCCCTCTACTCTGGCACTCCTACAGATAATTCACCTTCAGAGTGCCAGAGCAGAGGGATGTAAGAAATATTGTACCCTACCTAATGAATATAAGAGGTTTTACAATTCTTATGTGTTTATTTAGTATATGCTATGTTTCAAAGATTAATAGAGACGTATCTCAGTATATGTGAACATTCAAGAAAAATAATTGTTCATTATTTCTGAATAAAGCTACTTTCAAAATTGTTGTACAAAATCAGTTTTAAATCCTTTTTACCCTCCTCACAGAGGATGCAAAGAAGATGGCTGTTAAGGAAGAAAAATATGATCCAGGTTACGAGGCAGCATATGGTGGTGCTTACGGAGAAAATCCATGCAACGGTGAACCTTGCGGCTTCTCTTCAAATGGGCTAAGTGTGTTTCCCTCCACATGTGTATTCCTTTCAAAGACGGTTTTGCCAGGATTGGGGGGAAGATTTTAATAGAAGGAGAGTAAATGATTGAAGAATGGGAATGGTAATATGAAATTTTATTTAGTGACTAATAGTGAAAAATTGATGGTTATTTCACATTGAATTACACAGACTTTTACAGTGCATTTTCTGTTTGTTTGTTTGTTTTTGAGATGGAGTCTCCCTCTATCACCCAGGCTGGAGTGCAGTGGCGCCATCTCAGCTCACTGCAAACTCCGCCTCCCGGGTTCACACCATTCTCCTGCCTCAACTTCCCGAGTAGCTGGGACTACAGGCGCCCGCCACCACGCCCAACTAATTTTTGTTCGTATTTTTAGTAGAGACAGGGTTTCACTGTGTTAGCCAGGATGGTCTCGATCTCCTGACCTTGTGATCCGCCCCGCCTCAGCCTCCCAAAGTGCTGGGATTACAGGCGTGAGCCACTGTGCCTTGCCTACAGTGGTGCCTGGCCTACAGTGCATTTTCTTCAAGTCATGAACTCTCGGCAATCCTAGTTGCATTTTCCTCCTTTAATAACAAATGAGGATTAATAACAAATGAGGCCTGTATCTGAAAAATAGAACAGAAACTTATGATTGTATTCAGGAAGCTTGCTTAACTATTTTAATAATAATTCTCCTTCACTAGACTGTTAAAATCTCCTACTTTGATCATTTAAAACTTCCAGGTCGGGCATGATGGTTCACAGCTGTAATCCCAGCACTTTGAGAGGCTGAGGTGGGTGGATCATTTGAGGTCAGGAGTTCAAGACCAGCCTGGCCAACATGGTGAAACCCTGTCTCTACTAAAATATACAAAAATTAGCTGGGTATGGTGGCAGGCACCTGTAATGCTAGCTACTTGGGAGGCTGAAGCAGGAGAATCACTCGAACCCGGGAAGCAGAGGCTGTAGTGAGCCAAAATCACCACACTGCACTCTAGCCTGGGTGACAGAGTGAGACACCATCTCAAAAAGAAAAAAAACTTCCAAAGAAGCTGATGTGGTGGCTCACCCCTGTAATCCCAGTGCTTTGAGAAGCTAAGATGGGAGGATCACTCAAGCCCAGGAGTTTGAGGCTGCAAAGAGCTGTCATCGTGCCACTACATTCCAACCTGGGGGCGACAGAGTGAGACCCAGTCTCTATTTTAAAAAAAGCAAAAATTTCTAAATGGCATAAACTAACTTTGTCTTTCTGGCAGTTGACAGTGCGGAGTTAAGAGGAGAATCAACTTTCAGTGGCATTCCTAATGGGCAGTGGATGACCCAGTCATTTACAGACCAGATTCCTTCCTTTAATAATCACTGTGGAACACAAGAACAGGAAGAAGAAAGTCATGCTTAAGAATGGTGCTTCTCAGCTCTGCTTAAATGCTGCAGTTTTAATGCAGTTGTCAACAAGTAGAACCTCAGTTTGCTAACTGAACTGTTTTATTAGTATTTTACTCTAGTGGTGTAATTGTAATGTAGAACAGTTGTGTGGTAGTATGAACCTTATGAACCTAAGTAGTTTGAAAGAAAAAGTAGGGTTTTTGTATACTAGCTTTTGTATTTGAATTAATCATCATTCCAGCTTTTTATATACTATATTTCATTTATGAAGAAATTGATTTTCTTTTGGGAGTCACTTTTGATCTGTAATTTTAAAATACAAGTCTGAATATTTATAGTTGATTCTTAACTGTGCATAAACCTAGATATACCATCATCCCTTTTATCCCTAAGCAGGGCATGCTAATAATAATTACCACTGTCAAAGAGGCAAATGTGTTGATTTTTGTATATGAAGTTAAGCCTCAGTGGAGTCTCATTTGTTAGTTTTTAGTGGTAACTAAGGGTAAACTCAGGGTTCCCTGAGTTATATGCACACTCAGACCTCTTTGCTTTACCAGTGGTGTTTGTGAGTTGCTCGGTAGTAAAAACTGTACCTTACCTGACAGAGCCCTGGCTTTGACCTGCTCAGCCCTGTGTGTTAATCCTCTAGTAGCCAGTAACTACTCTGGGGTGGCAGGTTCCAGAGAATGCAGTAGACCTTTTGCCACTCGTCTGTGTTTTACTTGAGACACATAAATATGATAGGGAAGGAACTGTATTTCTCCATTCATATTTATCACCATTCTAGTTTTATCTTCCTTGGCTTTAAGAATGTGCCATGGAAAGTGATAAAAAATGAACTTTTAGGCTAAGCAAAAAGATGCTGGAAATACTTCATAATCTCACTTAAACTGGTGCTTTATGTACATGAGATGTACTAAAATAAGTAATATAGAATTTTTCTTGCTAGGTAAATCCAGTAAGCCAATAATTTTAAAGATTCTTTATCTGCATCATTGCTGTTTGTTACTATGAATTAAATGAACCTCATGGAAAGGTTGAGGTATATACTTTTGTGATTTTCTAATGAGTTTTCCATGGTGCTACAAATAATCCAGACTACTAGGTCTGGTAGATACTAAAGCTGGGTACTAAGAAATGCCATTTGCATCCTCTCAGTCACTCCTGAGTATTCTGATTTCATACATACCCAGGGAGCATGCTGTTTTGTCAATCAGTATAAAATATTTAGGAGGTCTCCCCCACCCCCAGGAGGTTATATGATTGCTCTTCTCTATGAGAGAAACAAATTCTTGTTGTGAATCTTAACATGCTTTTTAGCTGTGGCTGTGATGGATTTTATTTTTCCTTAAGTCTAGGTCAAGCTGTGTAAAAGTCATTTATGTTATTTAAATGATATACTGTACTGCTGTTTACATGGACGTTTTGTGCGGGTGCTTTGAAGTGCCTTGCATCAGGGATTAGGAGCAATTAAATTATTTTTTCACGGGACTGTGTAAAGCATGTAACTAGGTATTGCTTTGGTATATAACTGTTGTAGCTTTACAATAGATTGTTTTATTTGAATGGGGAAAATACCCTTTAAATTATGACAGACATCCACTAGAGATGGGTTTGAGGATTTTCCAAGCATACAATAATGATGTTTTTCCTAACATGACAGATGACTAGTAAATGTTGATATATCCTGTACATGACAGTATGAGACTTTTTCATTAAATAATATTGAAAGATTTTAAAATTCATTTGAAAGTCTGATGGCTTTTATAATAAAATATATTAAGAATTGTTATCCTTAAGTTATGGGCTTTTTCTGTAGCAAAACTGAGTGGTATTCTTTCCCCTTTAAACCTGAGGTCAGTTTACCTTCTATTATATTTAACATGTAGAATAATAACATGATAAAAGTCATAAAAATGATGAATATTTTATTTTTCAGACATCCATATTTTAAATGCAATAGTTTTATAAAAGAAAAGATTGGCAACCTGTTAAAAAGATCTACATGTGAAAAATACATTTAGAAGTTTTAAAAATTTGTGGATATAATTGTTATTCAGAATTAAGCAGATTGATTACTGGTATCTAGATGGGTCTGTTCCTTTATGTTTTTCAGTCACATAATCTCGATTTCCATAGTTAACACATGTACTTAAAGAAGTCAGTCAATGCCTATATGGTCCAAGGTATAATTTGCACACAGTAGTTTTTGGTTTTTATATTGTGGCTCATCTGTATCAAAGGTAGCGTTCATAAAGAACAATGTTATAGTTGGCTACAAAGAGACAATTCCACATTTCTAGACAGGGAATATTTTAAGGGTAGAGTTATATCAGCTATGGTGATTGAGTTTAAATATCCCTGCAGGGTCAGGAACAAACCAGCTTTCCCATAAGTCGTTGTGAACACTAGGGAAGTCCCAAGGTTTATGTCTTCCATTCCAGTGGAGTAATTTAGCTTCCTGCAGAAAATGCTCCGAATATCTGGCATCTGGATTCCAGCCTTCATTGTGTTTAAAGAAAAAATAATAGGCTTGTTAGAGAATAACATTTTTGTATTATAAATTGAATACAAGTTCATAGTTTAAAAAAAGGTAAACAAAAGGGTTATACAGTGAATTTTCTACCCACCCCATGTCTCCAAATCAACCGTTGTTAGTCTCTTGTGAATCCTTCTAGTAAAGCTATAGCATTGTTTGACCTGTATGCATGTATATGTATATTTAAAGACAGAAGATGAGCATACTGCTACCTTGCCTTTAAAAAAAAATTATTTTATTTCTTTATTTGGATATTGCCTTTTAAAATTACTGTCTTGGAAAACTTTCCACAGCAGTACATGTGGATTTACCAAATTATTTTTAGTGACTGTATAGAATGATAGATAATTATTTATTGACCAAGTTCCTTATTAAGGACATTTAGATTGTTTCTATCCTATCATTAGCATAAACACAGCAATGAACACCCCTCTGTGTATGTCTAGTCTATGTGTACAATTATATCTGTAGGATAAGATATTGTAGGTGGAATTGCTAGATTGAAGGGTGTGTGTCTTTTCAGTTTTGATAGAGATTGCCACATTGTCCCCGAAAAAGTTCTATTAATTTTCCTCCCACCCAAGAGTTTATAGGGGTTCTTTTTTCTCTGCATTTCACCTCCTTAATGAAAAATGGCAACATTTTCTTTTGAACAGTCTTGTCTTCATGTAAAATGTGACTAAGGTCTACTTTTTAAACAGCTATCTCCACCTGAATATTACTCCCCTCATAAGTCATCACTTCAAGAGACTATCCATTTACCCTAACAGTGTCATTGCTTAGAATATTTTTTAGAATGCCTATTCTAGAACTACATTAAGGTGGTGTGAATGTAAAATTTAAAAAAAATCTCTATAGCGTTCAACTTTCTTTCCATGAAAAGGAATTTGATATATATATTATTTAAACAGCTGAAAGTCCATTGAATTATGAGAGGGTTGATTTGCTAGGGTTATGTTATTCTAGTGTATGACGCTAACAACAACACAACCTGGCTTTTGTTACTAATAAACATAGCTGTGACGGCAGCTGCAGAAGAGAAACTAGTTGTTTGAAGCTATTGCAGCATAATTGGAATAATTATCAATCATCAGAGTCTACACAAAGGAAATATTCATTTGGGAAGAGGCACCTTCCCGTGAAAAGTCTCTACTAAGGGCATCCTCATCTCTCAGCTTCGTAACTGAAGGGCTATGCAGAACTACCTCAGAGGGGCTTGCAATTTGGGTGATGAAATTGCTTTTAGCTAAATATATTTTGTAAATTTAAAAAATATTAAGCCTGCCTGTTCAGACCCAAACTTAATGCCCATTAGTGTTATGTTGCCCTTCTACCTCCAGAATACCCTAAAACCTCATTTTTCAAATGATTTTTGTGTAGATTTACTTTGCACACCATCCCTGATTCCAAAACCTTCAGCACAGATGGAAGCTCTGTTCTACAAAGAAAAATGACATCTTTCCTTGGGGAAGAATATGTCCCTTCCTACTTGTCAGTAAGTTGGATATTTCTCTCTTTTCTTTTTTTTTTTCCCTTTCCTTTTTTTTTTCTTTTGAGATGGAGTCTAGCTCTGTCACCCAGACTGAAGTGCAGTGGCATGATTTCTGCTCACTTCAATCTCTGGCTCCCAGGTTTAGGCTATCCTTCTGCCTCAGCCTCCCGAATAACTGGGATTACAGGCGTGTGCCACCATGCCCAGCTAATTTTTTGTATTTTTAGGAGAGATGTGGTTTCACCATGTTGGCCAGGCTGGTCTTGAACTCCTGACCTCAAGTGATCCACCCACTTCGGCCTCCCAAAGTACTGGGATTACAGGCATGAGCCATCGTGCCTGGTCTAAGTTGGATGTTTCATAAAATGTAATTCTGAGTCTCTGTCTCAAGATCATAAAATGCTGCAACCTTATTGATCTAAGCTCTGTATAACTGTTCCTACACATTTTTAAAAATAGACCTTCTACTTTGATGGGATCTGCACATGGAAAGGTTGATATTTCACCTAATGTTGAACCCAACATGACTCTAAATCAAATCAGACAGAACACTAACTTCCCTATGGCACTCTTGTGCATACACATGCTCAGGAAAATCAGAGGATTCTGGTAATAATGCAAAAGCAATCCACAGAATTATCGAGAGCAAACAGGAACTCAGCCTCCACAATTATATCCTTTTTAAAAAAAAAAAAAAAAAGATTATAGGACATAACACCTTGCAGGGTTGTTGTGAGAATTAGAAATAATATTCACCTTCCTTAACAGAACCTAGTCCAGTTCTTAGCAATGTAATGGACACTTGGTAAATATAAGTCCATATCCATTGCCTCCAATTCTAAAATGATCCCCAAAGGTCTGAAGAGAAAAGGTTTTTTAATAACTTCTTTGGCAGTAAAACCTAGATCCTACTCAGCACCACATTACCTTTTAAAAATCCAAACCCTTTCTAAAGTTCTAAAGAGCTCTGGCCCAGGGGTTTGGATAAGGGATGCTGGCATGTGTTGGGGTGGATGTGAATGTGAATGTGCCCTCTATGCTAGGCTCCACGCTAAGCCATTTATATGTATTCAGTAACTTACCCAAAATCATAGTTGGGATTCCAATTCATACAAAAACCCTACACTTGTGTAGTGAATAAAAGACTTAAGGAACTCACAGAGAACAGAGTCAACTGCTTTTTAAAGGATAAATTTTAATGGCAGCTTTCTGAATTCATCCTAAGCCATTATGCTAATTTATTTGGTTTTGTCCACTGTAAGTTACTGCAAGAGAAAATAAAAGTGTGGCTTGACAGTTGCATAAAGTTTTGAAGTTTTGGCAGTGAAAGTTTTCTCTCTGTCTCTCTTTTGTTTGTTTGTTTGTTTGTTTGAGACGGATTTTTACTCCTGTCACCCAGGTTGGAGTGCAGTGGTGCTGTCTTAGCTCACTGCAACCTCCACCTTCCAGGTTCAAGCGATTCTCCTGCCTCAGCCTCCTGAGTAGCTGGGATTACAGGTGCCTGCCCCCATGCCCAGCGAATTTTTGTATTTTTAGCAGAAACAGTTTTCACCACGTTGATCAGGTTGGTCTTGAACTCCTGACCTTAGGTGATCCACCCGCCTTGGCCTCCCAAAGTGGTGGAATTACAAGTGTCAGCCACCGCTCCCAGCCGAAAGTTCTCTTAACAGTTAATGTTTACTGAGCACATACTATATGCTAAGCATGAGTTTGATGGCTTTCCATAAATCCAGAAACACGCCCCGCAGGTAGCTAAGAATATCCGCTGCACTTGCAGAATCTGAGTGCTGAGGGTTAGTCACTTGCCCAAGGTCACCTGGAGGATTTGAACTGAACAACCTGGTGCCGTATGTAGCACCCTCTCCTCACCATGGTGCTCACTGGATCTATAAAATGCACACTTGCGGCCGGGCATGGTGGCTCATGCCGTAATCCCAGCACTTTCGGAGGCCAAAATGGGTGGATCACCTGAGGGCAGGAGTTTGAGACCAGCCTGGCCAACATGGTGAAACCCCATCTCTACTAAAAATACAAAAATTAGCTGGGCGTAGTGGCACACGCCTGTAATCCCAGCTACTCGAGATGCTGAGGCTGGTGAATTGCTTGAACCCGGGAAGCGGAGGTTCCAGTGAGCCAAGATTGTGCCATTGCATTCCAGCCTGGGTGGCAGAGCGAGACTCTGTCTCAAAAATAAAAAAAAAATAAAAAATAAATGGACATTTGCGCTTTTCTAAATCGTTTTTCTAAAATACTTACCCAGGTGCCTTATGTGCCACAGAGGGTTAATTGTGGAGTACTTCCCATGGAACACAATCAGCATTGGGGAGGTGGCCACCCCTCCTCCCAGGGAGCTGCTATAGAGGTTTTCCCTAAGAAATGAAATAGAAAAACAACATTTGGCCTGGAGGCCCCACAAACTCAGATAAAGTCGAATCTAATATTGTAAACGATGTAAGACATTTTCTCACTATGTACTAAGACTTACGGCCTTTCATTCTCCCCCAACTTCCATTTTGAAAATTGTCAAACATACACAAAATAGTAAAATATCATGAACTCCAATATACATCACCTAGACTAATAGTATTAATATTTTGCCATTTTAACCCCCAGGGTTTTAAATAGTAGACACAGGAGATCAAATTCGAATCCTACATTATTTAGAATAACTTTACTTGCAAATTCAAGGTTATGATGGTATTTAAATATCCAGATGCACAAGACTGCTAGGCAATACAATGATGTGATAATCGTGCTTGTATTAGAGTTATTTTTATCATCTCTATTTTAAAACTCTGATAATGAAAAATTGTAAATTTTAAAAATCAACCTTAAAAAGCAAAGTTGATTTTATATATAATCCTTAATAAGAAATCTACGTTAGAAGGGGAAACTCAACTAAGATAAATGAAGATTGTTGGGTGGAAAAGATTCAAGTCACATTTTTCAACGGCTTACTAGGAAAATGTATAATCAGGGACTCCTCACTCCACAGGATCTTGATTCCTCTGATTTATATCTTTTGAGGAAAGATTTTCATTGACTGTCCCCTTTTCTTTCTTAACATTGCCTCTGTAAGAAAATCTGACCTCAGATGACTGTGAAATATTTCTAATCCTTGAACTACGCGTGGAAAATTAACTGAATGATTTTGTTTCCAAGCATGGGAAAAATGGTAGAGAAGTCTTCACGTACTCCACATTCTTTTGCATCCATTTCTCCAATTGCTTGGTGATGCGCTGGTGCTTCCATTCTGTCATGTTGGCAACAATCACACCAGGATTGAAAGAGCAGGTGCTGGGGCTGATGCCGAGGTCCTTGATGGCCTTCTTCCGGTAGTCCAGATAGCCCATATATGTATTCTGTAAGGGAACAGGATGTGCATGCTTTTGACCAGTGAATCTTTTGTTTCTGGAAAATGATCATTTTCTTGAAACCTTTGTGCAGTATCTCTGGGTTTCCTCCTGCGTTACTGGCCACTTGGTAGTTTGTTGTTTTTGTTTTGTTTTGCTGGTTTCCCTCATTTCTCCAACCTCTAAATGCTGAATGCCCTAGGTCTGAGTGCAGCACTAGTGCCTTTCTCTAGCAATAACTCCATAAACAGCCTTGTCCAGTCTTATGGCTCTAAATATCACCCATCTGACAGCCCTGACCTCTCCTCTGGACTTCCAACTCCTGCTACATCTGCCATCCAAATGTCTCCTTTCAGATGCTTAGTAAGGCAGCTCTAACTTATATCCCAAAATTGACCCCAATCCTATCCCAAACTTGCTTCCCTGCATCTGCCCCAACTCAGTCAGTGGCAACTCTATCCTTCTAGTTACTTGGGCAAAAAAACCCGGGGTCATTAGGTCCTCCTTGACTCCTTTTTTGTCACTCTCTTCTCATCCAAATCTTTCAGCAAATCCTGTTGGTCCCATCTTCAAAATGCCAGAAGCCAACCACTTCTCTTGCCACTACTGCTACCTTCCTGTTCAGGCCATAATTGTCACTCACTGGATTTCTGCAAGTTCCTCCTAACCAGTATCCTTGCTTCCACTATTTTCCACCCCACTCTGTCTCTAGGTCACTCATCTCCTCTAAGCTCCTCCAATAGCTTCCCATCTCATTCACAGAAACAGCCAGAGTTCCTAAAATGGCCTGCCATACCCTATATCATCTGACCCTCCAATACCTCTCCAACTCCTGTTATTCTCCTCTTGATCCCTCAGCAACAGTGACCACCTTTAATGAACCAGACTCACCCCTGCCTCAATATCTTTACACCACTTCTTCCCACTTACTGGAGGGTTTCCCTGCTAACCACCTGCACAAGTGGTTCCCTCGATTCTTTCAAGTTTAGATTCAAACAGCACAATCTCAGTGGAGCCTTCCCTGATTACCGTATTTAAAATACAGCCCTGCCTCCACCCCAGTCCTCTGTTAAATATTTTATTTGTTTACTGTCTGTCTGTTCCCACTAGAATGTGAAATACACAAAAGCAAGAGTTTTCATTTTGCTCACTGTATTACTAGCACCTAAAACAGTGTCAGGCACAGAGTAAGCACTCAATAAGTAGTTGTTGAATGAATGTAGTATGGGGCAAGACATACACATTCTTTCACCCATCTAGACTGTCATAATCTATAATTCCTTAATGTGATGCTCTCAAACCTCACACAGGAGTCATGGAAATACTTGAGTACTTTCCATGCACCAGGTCCTTTTCTAAGAACTTTACATGTACTACCTCATTACTCTCATGTAATAGCTTTGTATGTATTAACTAATTTAATTCTCACAATAACTACAAGGCAAGTACTATTATTACTTCTGTTTGACAAATGAGGTAGAAACAACTGGTTAAGTAAATTGCCTGAGGTCATAAAACTACCAAGTGATAGTGCCAAGATTTTGACAAAATTGAATCTGGTCGCCGAGCCTATGCTTTGAAGTGCCTTAAAATGCCACACACATAAAATTGTTTGCTAGAAGCTTTTTTGAAAAACAGCATTCAACTCTTAATAACACCTCTTATTTCAAAGCTACCCCTTTAGTTTCAGCATTGCATGTAGGTTCAACTTTCTGATGTAGGTTCCATCAGAGTAAGGAGATCTTTACCCTTAACAAAATCAATATTTTCTTCTACTGGAAGGGGGCTAAAAGCGATGGTCAAAACTCTGAAAATAGAACCAATGGTTCAGCAAGTCTCTTTAACAGAAAACATCATCTCTGACAGAGAGCATGGTGATGAGCCACCTAGGTAACAATGATCATTTCTGGAGCTTTTATTTCATGCTGGACACTTGGACATCATGTTATTTCATTATTGCCCACAAAGACACAACAAAGTAGACATGATTGTTCCCATATTTCAGGTAAGGAAGGTGGGACTTTGCAGGGTTAAAGTAAGTCATCTCAGAGTTGGTAAGGCATGGAGCTGAGACATGAACCAAAGTCCCAGACCCCTGTACTGTTCCGCCTCCCAGCAGTCCAGACTGGCCCATAAGGATTTCAAGGTGGAGGTTACACTCATTTTGAGTTGCAGAGCGGGGAGAAGGGGCCAGAGTTGTAGGGTGAAGGGAGGACTTCCGAGACAGCAGATGCCCACCTGAAGTCCCACGAGTCTGTTTATATCCTGAGCAGAGGGCAAATCACAGTCATCTGAAAAAGCCGCTGCATGGCCCAGGGCCAAGGTGGTGTCATAAAGTTCTTGGATATCACCTGAATTTAGAAACACCAGCAATTAAAACATTATAGCATTTGTTTTCGGGCTAGATAGAGCCTTAGAGCTTAAACAGTTCTTGATTTTGCTATGGGAGAAGAGTATTGGATCCCTGATTTCAAGTGGCTTGACAATTTATTTAGTAAGAGTCATGCCTACAGATTTAGACAGCCACTTAATGATGAGCTCAAATTGGCACTGATCTAATTTCTTTATTTCTGTTGCTCAGTAGGTACCACACCAATGCGTATCCTGTTTGTAGTGGAAGAGACAGAATACAACATTTAAACACCAAAACTTAGCTCACTCCTAAGACTGTCATCTGTGACACTTCATTTCCATACATTATAGGGATATAGGGAAAGGAAAGGCTACCAAGCTATTTATTGCAGGTATTGACAATCAGAGTCAAACTGGATTGTCTCGGTAAGTATCAACCCGTTTCCAAAATACTTCCACATTTACAACAATACTGTACTCACAACTTAAATAAGCAGTCAAAACTCACTGAGCATTAGCTATTTGAAAAATGAAGAGAGACAGTTATTCTACTTATCAGCTGCTTCTTTTCCAAGTGTTCTTGGCAGTTAGCGAGAGTACCTTGTACAATTACATCATCGTCCAAATAGATGACTTTCTCGTGTTGGTGGATAAGTAGAGGGAGATAAAATCGAACAAAGTTCAGCTGTTAAAACAACAAAAGAAATGATGGTGGGGGAGAAGCATATGGCTTAGTGTCTTCTAGGGGTACTGGAGAGTCGGCTTTGACCATGGCCTCCGCTCAGCTCCAGGTTTGGAGCGGAATGAAACAGGAGCTAGCAAGATGTCTCATCTGAGCTTCCCAGTGCCCAACTTATCTGAGGCCTGGAGCTGAAGCCAGTGCTGGCGGACCAGCTGTTCTGCTAGATCCAAACCCCCTAGTGCCGAGGCTGTTGCCACTTTCATCTCTGTGAACCGCTGCAGTGGGAGTCACAGAGGCTCCTTAGTCAATCTTTTACGGCACGAATCACCTGCCTTTCTCTTCATGCAGTAATGTTGATAATTGTCAATTAAATCAGCCTTAAATACACACACACACACACACACACACACACACGTGTCATCCCAACAGCAAGCTCAACCTTTTAGCTCCTTGAACCAGAAAAAGGAGCAGTATGATCTGTGTGTAGGAACTTCGAAGTTTCACTACTGACAACATTGCTTAATCTGAAGTCTTAGCTTGTACTCTGACAATATCTGGAACTGGGGAGAGACCACATGGACAGAGGTCTCAGAATTAAGTAAATTTTCAGGGATGAATTTAAGTAACAATCATATGTAAAAGGTGGCTGCAGTTTCTGTAAAACTGCTATCAAAAACACCACTATTGTCTTTTTTTCTTTTTTGAGACAGGGTCTCACTCTGTTGCCCAGGCTGAAGTGCAGTGGCATGATCACGGCTCACTACAGCCTCAAACTCCCAGGCTCAAACAATCCTCCCACCTCAGCCTCCTGAGTAGGTAGCTAGGACTACAGGGGTGTGCCATCATGCCTAGCTAATTTAAAAAAATATATTTTTTTGAGACAGAGTCTCATTCTGTCACCTAGGCTGGAGTGCAGTGGCATGATCTCAGCTCACTGTGACCTCTGCCTCCCGGGTTCAAGCAATTCTCCTGCCTCAGCCTCCTGAGTAGCTGTGACTACAGGTTCTTGCCACCACACCCAGCTAATTTTTGTATTTTTAGCAGAGACAGGGTTTCACTATGTTGGCCAGGCTGGTCTCGAACTCCTGACCTCGTGATCTGCCTGCCTCAGCTTCCCAAAGTGTTGGGATTACAGGCATGAGCAACCACGCTTGGTCACTAAATAAAACTTTTAAAGTATAAATGGGGTCTCAATATGTTGCGCAAGCTGGTCTTAAACTCCTGAGCTCAAGCAATCCTTCCCACTCAGCCTCCCAAAGTGCTGGGATTACAAGCACGAGCCAGCACATCCGGCCAAAAACACCACTTGTTATGCAGGAGAGGGTCCCTTTGGTAAGAACTCTTGCAGTAAAATACCTTAAGATTCCCAACGCTAGGAAAAGAGTTGGTGTCTCCTGAATATATTATCTTAGTCAATACTAGGAAGTATGTAATCCATCAGGCTACTGTTTTTTCTTAACTATCGGACACTCAGAGGCAGATTTAATGTACAATCACAGTTAAATATCCCAACAGCCGGTGGGTTTGGGATACTTTTTCCTGGCCTCAGCTACCTGGTCCTTCTCCAGCTCCCACTCCCACAGACATTCACACCCGTAAATGCATTCTACATTTTTTTTAATGCTTCACTTCTTCTTTAATAAACTTCATTGTGCTTCTATAAACCATCTTAAATCCTTTCTGTAGCAGCTGGCTTATAAATTACACATAAGCAGAGTTTGGTGGAGATCAACACCACAAGGCTTCAAAAATAATATTCCACATGCATCCCGGTGACTAGCACTCCTTTACTCAACATAGGTCTCACCAAGGACTGTCCGCAGCACCTGTGTGCTCCCTACTTACGGGCTGGAGCAATTCAGGCCTCGATGAGTCTGGTCTGATCTTCCCTTTGAGGACCATCGGGTTGAATTCCACGATTTTAAAGTTTATTTCTCTCAGTTTGGAATGTTCAATCCATTTTCTAAAAAGATGACCAAAAAACCTCTAGTATACCCTTCAATTCTTTCCTCCATTTGCCTATTGCCCCAGGGTCAATCTGTTGCCTCCCTAGAAAGTTAAAATTAAAATGTGTGTAAATTTAGTAGAGTTTAGTCCAATAAATCCTTCTGACCTTTCTCCCCATCTGTTGTGACTTTAAATCTTTTTTTCCCCTCAATCACGTAACTCTTTCTGCAAAGGAAATGAAGCAAAATAGTAATAACCAAATCTCTCCCCAGATCCAAATAATTTCCCCAGGAAACAGGAAGAATGAAAAGTGTTCTTTCTTATAAAGCAGCATCTGTGATTGCTGGTACTGTCTTCGCCATGTGGTAACAGCTCTGAAATGTTATGAAACAGGACATTCTGAACCCTCAACTTTGATCGAAGTCATTTTTAGTCTGTGGTTTCAACTCCAAGGCTGATTTGAATTTACCTTTGTCTCTTTGATTTGGTCCCTTGATCTTCCCCATCTGTCTTCATTCCCCATCTCCTCCCTCTCCCTCTCCCCTTCTGTTTTCTTGGTCTTGCAGAATTTTTGTCTTGTATCCAATTCATAATGAGATTCTTGGTAGAAATAATCTCAAAATAAAATATCCAATGACTAAAGTCACCTAGGGTAGTATTTGTTGTTGACTAAAAATCAACAAAAGAATTAAATGTGAACAAAATTTAGATCTGCAAAATCTGAAAAAATAATTGGTCATATCAATTAAAAAAAGATAGACTAACAGAAAAACAGGCAAGAGACCTGAACACTTACTTCCAAATGGTTACAAAGTGTGTAGGAAAAGTGTTCAATGACATTAGAAATAAGGAAACCTCAAATTTCTAGATAGTACTGGACACTAATCAAAATGGCAAACTTAAAAAGACTGATTATACTGTTAGTGAGAACATGCTGGATGTTATATGAATGTGTTTACTTTGTGATGATCCAATAAACTGCACACTGGATTTATGCAATTTTCTGTTTTGGGATTCTACTTCAATGAAAAAAACTTTAAAATATGTAAAAGGGGGCAGGGAGTAGACTGGACAGCAAGAACTGGGAAACAGCCCCTGGCCAAAGTCAGAAAGTCATGAGGCTCATGCCTTTTGCTAAAGACAAACCCTTCCCCAGAAACCTTATACATGCCATCCTTTTGGATTTAGTTATCTAGTTTTCATACCCATGGATAGTTAATGGACTGTTAACAACAGGCTAAGTGAATGATGAGCAATAGTATGATAAGGAGAGTGAGAAATGAGACAGAAAACCAGAAAGCATACACAAGACATCAAAACCCAGGGCAGCCAAGGGTCATTTAGATTACAGGAAAACACCTTACAGATCTCAGTACCTCCTGATGGCACCACTACAAAAACATTTAATTATAAAAGCAGTGTGTAAATATATTCTCCTTTTGAATGATCAAATAATACTGAAACACCCTGAACTTCCCTTCATCAGCACCCTCCCCGATTCCTCTGTCCTCCCAAGAGATAGTCAGTGTTAACAATTTGATAGCTTTCCAGTTATTTTTCTTCACAGAAACACATACATGTTCATGTACACACTTATAGTTAGGGGTCTTGAATTTCATAAAGTAGATCATACTATACGAGTTATACTGCAACTAGCTTTTTCCACTTAACAATATGCCTTGGGAATCTCCTATGTCTGTTTAGACAGAGTGCCTTCTTTCTTTAACATCTGGATCATATTTCACAGTTCATTTAAATATTCTTCCATTGGTGGACATTTCAGCACTTTGAAATGTTTTCACTAGTTCACATAATGCTGAAACTAGCATTGTTGTACACACATTTTGGTAATATGTGCTAGAATTTTTGTAGTACAGATTCCTGGAAGAGGAAATGGCATGTGAGTCAAATTATATATGCATACAACCTTGTGATAGATATTGCCATGTTGACCTTGCCAAATGCTTTACCAACTTAGAAAATGCACATTGTGTAAATAAGGAATAAGCATGTCCATTTGCCTGCACTGGGTAATGTTTTTCTGTTTAATTTTTGCCAACTTGATTGAGTGAAGAATTATGTCACTGAAGTGACATATATGTTTTCATTTTTATTTTCATTTTCAACAATGCAAAAATGTTTCAATTCACATTTTCCTATTAATAACATAGAAAAACTTTATTTATTATTTTTTATTTTTGGAGATGCAGTCTCACTCTGTCACCCAGGCTGGAGTGCAGTGGCTCAGCTGATCTCAACTGAGTTCAGTGATCTCAGCTCACTGCAACCTCCACTTCCTGGGTTTAAGCCATTCTCCGGCCTCAGCCTCCGCAGTAGCTGGGATTACAGGCAAGTGCCAACATGTCCAGCAAATTTTTGTATTTTTAATAGACACGGGGTTTCGCCATGTTGGCCCGGCTAGTCTCAAATTCTTGACCTCAGGTGATCTGCCCGCCTTGGCCTCCCAAAGTACTAGGATTACAGGAGGGAGCTACTGCGCCTAGCCTTATTTATTTATTTTTAGCTGAAACAAGGTCTCACTCTGTTGGCCAGGCTGGAGTTAAGTGGTGCAATCTTATCTCACAGCAGCCTCAAACTCCTGAGCTCCAGGGATCCTCCCACCTCAGCCTCCCATGAAGCTACATATAACCAACCTCAGCTAATTTCTAAAATTCTTGGTAGAGACAGAGGTCTTGCTGTGTTGCCCAGGCTGCTCTCGAGCCTGACCCCAAGTCGTCCTTTTTCCTTGGCCTCCCAAAGTATTGGAAATATAGGAGTGAGCCATCTCACCCAGCCTACAATACCTTTTCACGTTTTTGGTCATTTGTATGTTTTTCCTCTGTGAATTGTCTGGTTATACTCTATGTCCATTTTTTAACTATGTTTTTAAAATTTTTGTGTTTTTAAAATTTTTGTAACAATTCTGTATTTTGGATAGTAATTCTTTGTCTATAATACATGTTAAAAATACTTTGTCCTGGTCAGGAGCGGTGGCTCACACCTGTAATCCTAGCACTTTGGGAGGCCGAGGCGGGTGGATCACGAGGTCAGGAGATCGAGACCATCCTGGCCAACATGGTGAAACCCCATCTCTACCAAAAATACAAAAAAAGTTGGCCGGGTGTAGTGGCGGGCGCACCTGTAGTCCCAGCTACTCAGGAGGCTGAGGCAGGAGAATGGTGTGACCTGGGAGGCGGAGCTTGCAGTGAGATCACGCCACTGCACTCCAGCCTGGGTGACTGAGCAAGACTCCTTCTCAGAAAAAAATATATATATATTTTGTCCTAATCTATTATATGAATAGCTTCACTTGTATTTTTCATCATTGTAAACTTTTTCAGTGTTATGCAGTCAAATCTGTGCACTTTTCTTGATGATTTCTGGGCTCAGAGAGACACACTCCATACCAAAATTTTACAATTATCTTTCATTTTTATAATATGTTCAAATTTTAATTTTCTGTTTATTTCTTCTTAATCCAAAAATAAAGGAAATCAATTTAAGGAAATATAAGAAAGTAGAGGCCAGGTGTGGTGGTTCACACCTGTAATCCCAGCACTTTGGGAGTATGAGGAGGGAGGATTGCTTGAACCCAGGATTTCAAGACCAACCTAGGCAACAAAGCTCTCCACAAAAAATTAAAAAATAAGCTGGGTGTGGTAGCATGCACCTGTAGTCCCAGCTATTTGGAGGTGGAAACAGGAGGACTGCTTGAGCCAGGGAGGTCAAGGCTGCAGTGAGCTGTGATTGCACCACTCCACACTCCAGTCTGGGCAACACAGCAAGATCCTATAAGAAAGAAAAGAAAAGAAAAGAAAAGGAAAAGAGAAGTGAAAGGGAAAGGGAAAGGAAAGGAAAGGAGGGAAGGAAGGAAGGAAAGAAAGAGAAAAAAGAAAGAAAGAAAGAAGAAGAAAGAAAGAAAGAAAGAAGAAGAAAGAAAGAAAGAAAGAAAGAAAGAAAGAAAGAAAGAAAAAAAGAAAGAAAAGAGAGAGAGGAAAGAAGAAGAAAGGAAGGAGGAAAGAAAGAAGGAAGGAAGGAAGGAAGAAAGAAAAGAAAGAAAGAAAGAAAGAAAGAAAGAAAGAAAGAAAGAAAGAAAGAGAGAGAAAGAAAGAAAGACGGAAAGATGAAGAAGAAGAGGGAGAGGGAGGGAGTGGGGGGAGGGAGGGAGGGAGGGAGGGAAAGGAAACAGAAAGTGCCAAAGTCTGCAAGACACAATTTACCGTATTCGAGTCAGAGTATTCCGGAGTCCCACTACATAGAACAAGATGTTGGCGTCAGTGTTGCTGTAGATGCTATTAATGGCAGCCATAGTGGCACCCATCCTCCCTGCTGCAGCACAAATCACCACAGGAATCTCTTCTTCCAGTTCTTCAGGAGTCTCGGATTCATCATCTGGAAACATCAAAATTGGTGTCTTGGAACATGAAAGAATTTCACAGTAGAGCCAGTTTAATCCATCTTCCACAGTCCTGGGGGAAGATGGCATAGTGTGGAAGAGGCTGCTGATTGTTCTCCAATATCTAGTCATTCTGTCTTCCCTTAGAAAAGAACTTTGGAATTTTAGCTGGCACATAGCCAACCACGAAGACTGGTTTACCAGACTCCCGTGCAGCTCTATATGATTGAGTTCTGACCAATGGGATGCTAGTAATGTGTGCCACTGCTGGGTCTACCCTTCAAAGGAATGCTCACCTACCCCCTTGCCTTTCCCCTTTCCCATTGGCTGGACTGTTGATATGACGGCAGGAGTTAGAGTAGCCAGCTTAGACCACAAGATGGAAGCTACTTGTTGAGGTCACCAAAACTATAATATAGACGAGATCTTGATCTGGATAATTGTGGAACTGATACATCAGACTTATACTTGAGAGAAGAAATAAACTTCTATTTTGTTTATGTCACTATTGAAACCATACTCCCAAAGAGTTAAAGAAACCAATGACTAATAAAAATTCTTGAGTTTGCAGAATGATAGATTAGAACAAAAAAAATTGCTGAAATGATGAAACTCTCTCTCCTTCTGAGATTAAGAAACTGGCTGAAATCAGTTGGAGCCAATCTGGTCAACTGAAGTTTGTTCAGAACAAGCTTGCTGATGTCACAGCTTGGATTTCCGCCCCGTGTTTCATACTAACTCCTCCCAGATTTGCACATGAGACCCATGAGTAGCATGAAGAGATAACTGTGCATGCCCCAGGACTTTTTAGACCTCCTCTTCCCTTCCATCAATCACCTACTAATCCCAGAATCCACCCCTGAGCCTTTTCTAATAAAATTACTGCCTTAAAAGCTCCTGTCTCCTTGTTAGTCGATTTACAAGAAAAAGCTTTGCTTTTCTCAGAACCCGGGGTCATAGTGTTGGATTCTAGCACATCAGACAGCCAGCCCTTTTGATCATAACACAAAATCTATATTTTGGAGCTATCTTACAGGAGTCAGTTGGCTAGCCTAAAACACACACACAGTTAAAAAACATACAAAGAACTGAAAAGCCTCATTTGTCCAACAGTCCTCAGCTCTTCCCTGAATCAGAATATTTACTTTGCCTACACTGCTATAAGATACTCGTGATTTTCCCTCTCCTATCCCCACTCTAGTCAAGTTTCTCAAATGTTGACAGCAAGAGGAAGGAGGTAAAGGAAAGAGCATGACTAATGCACAAGATAAATAATTTTTCTTTTGAGCCTGGCTATGCTATAAAATACCAAAGCCATAACATCATACTTGAGTGTCACAATACAACTTTCAGCCATGGAGAAGAATAATGATCCATAAGTAGAGTATCCAGTATCCACTATAAAGTATTCATCTGATTTTTACTTAAAGCTCTCTCTCTCTGTGTGTGTGTGTGTGTGTGTGTCTCTCTCTCTCCACCCCCTTTCTCCCCCTGCCGCTTCTCTTTCCAGATCCTTTTTGGAAAACCTCTATCCCTGAGGTCCAGGGTAGTTCTAGCTGATATTTCATTCAATAAACATTTCTTGAAACTAACTACCAGGTACTGTGTTTTGTGTAATTTAAGACACGTTGAATGGCCTCCTCTTTCTCCTTCTACATCTTTTCTACCAGCTAGCTACTGCATCTGAAATTTCCACCACTAGAATAATTTTGTTTTCACAATATATATACTGACATGAGAGAATGCTCATAAAACACTGTTAAGGAGGAAAATACAAAATTCTCTCTAGTATTTGATCACAATTTGATACGTACATCTTTGCAAATGGACCTATGTCTATTTATGGAGTTAGGAGTGATTTTGATTTTATTTATATTTCTTATACTTTCCAAAGTGACTAAAGTAACCATGATATGGTACAGCTCTGTGTCCTCACCTAGATCTCATCTTGAATTGTACCCCCATAATTCCCACATGTTGTGGGAGGGACCAAGTGGGAGATAATGTGAATCATGGGGGTGGTTTTCCCTATGCTGTTCTCATGGTAGTGAGTAAGTGTTATGAGATCTGATAGTTTTATCAGGGATTTCTGCTTTTGCATCTCTCACTTTCTCTAGCTGCTGCCATGTTAGAAGTGTCTTTCACCTCCTGCCATGATTCTGAGGCCTCTCCAGTCATGTGGCACTGTAAGTCCAATTAAAACTCTTTCTCTTCTCAGTCTCAGGTATGTCTTTATCAGCAGCATGAAAACGGACTAATACAGTAAATTGGTACCTGTAGAGTGGGACGTTGCTGAAAAGATATCAACAAATATGGAAGCAACTTTGGAATTAGGTGACAAACAGAGGTTGGAACAGTTTGGAGGGGTCAGAAGAAGACAGGAAAATGTAGGAAAGCTTGGAACTTCCTAGAGACTTGTTGAATGGCTTTGACCAAAAGCCAGTTAGAGACATGGACAATAAGGTCCAGGGTGAGGTGGTCTCAGATGTACATGAGAAACTTGTTGGGAACTGAAGCAAAGGTGACTTTTGTCATGTTTTAGCAAAGAGACCAGGGGATTCTGCCCCTGCTCTAGAGATTTGTGGAACTTTGAACTTGAGAGAGATAATTTAGGATATCTGGTAGAAGAAATTTCTAAGCAGCAAAGCATTCAAGAGGTGGCTTGGATGCTGTTAAAGGCATTCCAGTTTTATAAAGGAAGTAGAGCATAAAAGTTCAGAAAATTTGCAGCCTGACAATGTGATAGAAAAAAAAACCAAAAAACATTTTTTAAGGAGAAATTCAAGCTGGCTGCAGAAATTTGTGCAAGTAACAAGGAGGAAAATGTTAATCCCCAAGACAATGGGGAAAATGTCTCCAGGGCATGTCAGAGGTCTTCACAGATGCCCCTCCCATCACAGGCCCAGAGGCCTAAGAGAAAATGGTTTTGTGGGCTGGGCCCAGGGTCCTGTGCTGTATGCAGCTTAGGGATGCGGTGCCCTGCGACCCAGCCACTCCAGCCATGGATGAAAGGGGCCAACATAGAACTTGGGCTGTGGCTTCAGAAGGTGCAAGCCCCAAGTGTCGGCAGCTTCCACACGGTGTTGAGCCTCTGAGTGCACAGAAGTAAAAAAATGGGGTTTGGGAACCTCCACCTACATTTCAGAAGATGTATGGAAATGTCTGCACGCCCAGGCAGAAGTTTGCTGCAGGGGCGGGGGCCTCATGGAGAACTTCTGCTAGGGTAGTGCAGAGGAAATGTGGGGTAAGAGCCCCCACACAGAGTCCCTACCGGGGCATTGCCTAGTGGAGCTGTGAGAAGAGGCCACCATCCTCCAGATCCCAGAATGGGAGATCCACTGACAGCTTGCACCGTTGCTGGAAAAGCTACAGATACTCAATGCCAGCCTGTGAGATCAGCTGGGAGGGAGGCTGTATCCTGCAAAGCCACAGGGTAGAGCTGCCCAAGACCATGGGAACCCACCTCTTGCTTCAGCATGACCTGGATGTGAGACCTAGAGCCAAAGGAGATCATTTTGGAGCTTTAAAATTTGACTGCCCTGCTGGATTTTGTACAAGCATGGGGCCTGTAACCCCTTTGTTTTGGTCAATTTTTCCCATTTGGAATGGCTGTATTTACCAAATACCTGTACCCCGATTGTATCTAGGAAGAGGAAGTAACCAGCTTGCTTTTGATTTTACAGGCTCATAGGCAGAAGGAACTTGTCTCAGATGAGACTTTGGATTGTGGAGTTTTGAGTTAATGCTGAAATGAGTTAAGACTTTGGGGGACTGTTAGGAAGGCAAGATTGGTTTTGAAATGTGAGGACATGAGATTTTGAGGGACCAGGGGCGGAATGATATGGTTTGGCTCTGTGTCCCCACCCAAATCTCATCTTGTATTGTACTCCCATATTTCCCACATGTTGTGGGAGGGACCCAGTGGGAGATAATGTGAATCATGGGGGTGATTTCTCCCATACTGTCCTCATGGTAGTGAATAAATCTCATGAGATCTCATGGTTTTATGGGGGATTTCCACTTTTGCATCTCTCATTTTCTTTTGCTGCTGCCATATAAGAAGTGCCTTTTGCCTCCCACGTGATTCTGAGGCCTCGCCAGTCATGTGGAACTGAAAGTCCGGTTAAACCTCTTTTTTCCCTTAGTCTTAGGTATGTCTTTATCAGCAGCATGAAAACAGACTAATACAAACCATGAGTTATTTTTATAAACAAACCCCAAAAAAAGTTTCTTAAGGATTATTCCTTTTGGACTAAGTTATAATCTTATGGAGGTATCATGTGACATGTTACCTGCTGCCCGTGAAGTGATCGGCCACAAATGCGAATTTGTCTATGTTTCTTCATTGCTGGAAAGTTCCTTATTAGTTCCTAAAAGGTAAAGCCACATTTCTTCGCCTGGCACACAAGGCCCCTCATGATCTAGCCCCTGCTCACTTCTCCAGCCTCACCTCCTTCTATTTTAGCAACATCAAACTCCTCGTGGTTCCCTGAACACTACTCTTATCTTAGTGCCTTTGCACATGATGTTCCCAATGCCTGGAATGCTTTCAATATCCTTTTCTGCATGGCTAACCCTTACATAGTCATTCCAAATGCAGTATCAACATCATATCCTCTGGGAAGCCTTTAACAGCTCCCTACACAAATTAACACACATCTTCTCTATGCTGTGGCCTTGCCTATGGTTGAATTTATTAATTGCATTGGAATTTATTTGGTTGCATGTCTTCCCTCTTTCTCCTATTATACTAGGAACTCTGTGAGGGCAGGTATCTTGTTCATCTCTGTATCCTCTGCAGCTGTCCTAGTGCCTGGCACATAGTAGATTTTCAATACAATCTGAACAGATGGGTGAATATTAGATATCTCTATTTGAGCACTTGCCACAATGCACTGGAAGAATCTATTTATGTGTCTGTCTCCTCCACTAGACTATAAGCTCATTATACTATCCCCACTGAGTCTGGCACTTTGGAAGTGCTTAATGAAAGTTTGTTGGAATGAACTAAATGGAATTGATGAATGAGCTTCAGAAAACAGGGCCCTTGAGGAATAAGAGGGAAGGGTCAAAAAGCTGGGGCTGTGCCTGGCTGCCAGACTCAGGCAGAGGCCTTCATCAGACAGTGGGAAGCACAAGGTAAAAGGAAAGTGTCCTCATAAAAGAGGGGACGCTCCAGAAGAAGGTCAAACATTGAGTGTCCAGCTCTGCTGCCAACACATGACACTGCCACGCTCCTTAGGGGCCTCTGCCAGGTAGAGAAACTGAGCACTAACCTAAGCCAAAAATGCTGTTCTCTGCCAAAAAGTTTCCCCTGGACAGAAAGAAGGACAAACGCACACTGGAGAAATGTGGCGGAAAGGCTTATCAACTGTACCTTCTTCATCAATGCTCCATCCTTGCAGTTTCTTTAGGAATTATCCGCTCCACTATTCGGATTCATTGTACCAACTGGTGCCTGAGCCAAAGCATTAAAAGGTTGGCTATGGGAAACTATTTGGTGCCTAACAAAAATAGTAAACATCACAATGCTGGCAGAATGGAATAGAAATGATACTGCCTTTGTCCTTTCCATAAGCAGCTCTGATCAAGCCACGCCTATTCCTAGAAGAAAGGAAATGTCTGCTCTCCTAATGCCATGACTCAGAATTCATTTCAAATAAGGATTGTTTTAGCCAAGTGTATCAGCTTACCTCTCCCCAAGTGGGACAGCTGAGTGACCAGCACACTAATCACAAGAAAAGTACTGGGAGATTACATGCAATGTCACAATGGAGATATTACAGAGAATTCCGCCATGTTTTACTTGAACATAGGACTTCACAGGACCTCTGGACATTAACTTAGAACACTAGTTCTTTGAATTAATGTTTTTTAAATTATAAAACATAATATGCAATTATTGAAAAAATTTCAGCCCAAAGAGAAGAGTATTTGGTAAATTGTGACTGTTTTCTGCAGACCTCTCACTCCCACTCCGAAAGTAGACCTCTGCTTTATAACAATATATAACACAACCAGTGTGGTGTGTGCCCCCTAAACCCTTCTTCATGGTAATACTGAAGCATATATACCTGGGCCAGGCGCAGTGGCTCACACCTGCAATCCCAGCACTTTGGGAGGCTGAGGTGGGCAGATCATCTGAGGTCAGGCATTTGAGACCAGCCTGACCAACATGGAGAAACCCCGTCTCTCCTAAAAATACAAAATTAGCCAGGCATGGTGGCGCATACCTGTAATCCCAGCTACTTGGGAGGCTGAGGCAGGAGAATCGCTTGAACCTGGAGGCGGAGGTTGTGGTGAGCCGAGATGGCACCATTACACTCCAGCCTGGGCAACAAGAGTGAAACTCTGTCTCAAAAAAAAAAAAAAGAATATATACCTTAAACACTTATTATTTAAAAGCCAAAATGGAATCATACTTTTCAGTCTCTTCTGCAACTTCCTTTTTCCACTTAACATACCACAAGCATTCTTCCATACCAACACTACATTCATTTGAATGGTATTTTATAACATTGATTTTTTAAAAAATTTTAACACGGAATGGATAAACATGTGATAACGGATCCATTCATGTGGTCCAAATGCTTTGTTTCTCTGTATAGGTCTGATTAGTCAGTCAGGATGTGTATTTCTTTAGAGCTGTTTTAACAACTGTTTTAAACTCTATCCACTTCCTTCTCTGAAGAAGGGAGTCTGTGGTGGGATTAGCTGAGCGAATGTATTGGTTTATGAGCAGGGATTGAAGCGTGAAGAGTGGAGTCAGTTCAGACGACATTTGTCTTTACATAACTTCCTTCTCTCTCTCTCTTTTAGAACAGCTTATTGAGGTGTACATACTGCTATGGACTGAATTGTGTCCTCCAGAGTCCATTTGTTAACGTCTTAGCTCCCAGCATCTCAGGATGTCAGCGCACTTGGAGACAGAGCCTTTAAAGAGGCAATTAAGTTAAAATGAAGCCATTTGGTAGGCCTTATCCCAGTAAGACTGGTGTCTTGATAAGAGGAGGAAAAGAGGAGAATCACGCAGAGGGTCACAACCAGGAGTGCAGCACAGAGAAAAGGCCACGTGAGGACACAGCAAGAAGGCGGCCATCTGCATGCCAAGGAGAGAGACTTCAGGAGAAACCAAACCGGCTCGCACCTTGATCCTGGACTTCCAGCCTCCAGAACCAGAGAAAATACGTGTCTATGGTCTAGCCACCTAGTCTGTGCTATTTTGTTATGGCAGCCCAAGCAAATGAATACAGATTTTTTTCAATTTACTCATTGTAAGTGTACAGTTCAATAGTATTTAGTAAATTTATTGCACAACCATCACCACGATCTAGCTTTAAAAAGTTCCATTGAGCTGGCTGGTCTGCAGTCAATCCATTCCCACTCCCAGCTCTAGGCAACCACTGATCTGCTCTGTGTCTCCACAGATTTTCCCTTTCTAGAAATTTCATACAGATGGACTGATACAATATATGGTCTTTTGGGTCTGACTTCTTTTATTTAGCATAATTTTTTTTCAGGTTTATCCATATTGCAGCTTGTATCAGTCATTTGTTCCTTTTTACTGCCGAAAAGTATTTCATTGTGTGGGATGAATTACATTTTTTGCATTCCTCACTAGTTGATGTACATGTGAATTGTTTCCAGTTTGGGGCTACTATGAATTATGCCCTAAGAGCTTCTGTATATATGTCTTTGTGTGAAAATCATTCTCTTTGCAGATTCTATTTTCATTTAGATTAGATTATACATGTTTTTAATTATTTTTAAATGAATTTTTAAATTACAAAATATAATCAGAAAGAAATGCCAGCATCCTGGGAATAGGGATGTTGTTTTGTTCACTGCTGTGTTTCCAGTCCCTAAGTGTCTGGCTGAAAAAAAAAACAAACAAACTGTGGAATAAATGTATGTAACACACCAAGTAACTGTATTCAGAGTCTCACTCTATCATCCAAGCTGGAGTGTAGTGGCACTATCAGGGCTCACTGCTGCTTAGACCTCCTAGGCTCAAGTAATACTCTCATTCCAGCCTCCCAAGTAGCTGGGACTACAGGCATGCCCCACCATGCCCAGGTAATTTTTTGTGTGCATGCAGACAGGGTCTTGCTTTGTTGCCTAGGCTGGGCTGGTCTCAAGCACCTGGACTCAAGTGATCCTCCTGCCTTAGCCTCCCAAAGTGCTGGATTACAAGTGTGAGCCACCATCGCCAGCCCATAAGTGTGTATTTGTTTGATTGATATAAAATGTAAATCAGCTGGGCACGGTAGCACATTCCTGTAATCCCAGCACTTTGGGAGGCCAAGGTGGAAGGACAGCTTGAGCCCAGGAGTTCAAAACCAGCCTGGGCAGCATGGCGAAACCCATCTCTACAAAAAGTACAAAAAATTAGCTGGATGTGGTGGCACACTCCTGTAGTCTCAACTTCCTGGGGGTGCTGAGGCCAGAGGATTGCTTGAGCCCTGGAGGTCGAGGCTGCAGTGAGCTGCTATTGTGCCACTGTATTCCAGCCAGGGCAACAAAGTGAGATTCTGTCTCAAAGAAAAAAGAAAGTAAATTAATTAAAAATGTAATAAACAGTGCTTCTTGATTTTTATGGAAGTTGACTTTGTGTGTGCATTGGAGTTGTGAAGGTGCCATCTCAGGCAATTCACCCCCGAGGAGGGAAACACGGCTCTCAGTACAGCTGGGAGAGAACAAAGGGCCAATGAAGGGCCATTTTCAAGCTGAGAGTTATGAGGCTGACTTGCACTGATGGGAATGAACCAGCAGGGAGAGGAGAGAGAGGGCGGTTTCCATAAGCAAAGTCATTGAGAAGCTCCAAAGAGATGGGGTGTGGAGCAGTGCACTCACCCTGTGGTCCAAGAACCCACAGCATCAGCCTCAACCAGGAGCTTATCGGAAATGCAAATCTTGAGGCCCCACCCCATACCTACTGATCCTACACCTCGCAGGCAGGCCCAGTGCTGTGTTTTAACAAGCTCTCCATGCAACTCTCACACATGCTAAAGTTTGAATAGCACCGACCATCCTAGGTCTCAACTGAAAAGGTGTTCTAGGGTAGATATTCTACTAGCAGGTCCTTGGGAGTTGACCAAGCTGTCACTTGTCCCTGAACCCAGCTATTGAAAGGACCTAGAGGAACACATTCAAACCACATTCCTGGGTATCCCAACTCAATGAATTCCATGTCCGCTCACCTGCATCATTCTTGGACACAGTCCCCTTATGAACTTTCTTATACAGAATCACACAGAGGGTCACGATCAGAAGGAACAGCAGCACCTGATTAACTGAAATAGAAATGGAAACACATTAACGTTGAACCTACGAACCTGAAATCACGTGACAAAGTTTAGAATGGTAGTGTGAGTAGATTCCTTCCATGACACAGAGTGGTGTCTGAGACCTTTCTATAAGCAGAGAGCATATAAAGAATTAACCTGGCCAGGTGTGGTAGCTTATGCCTGTAATAACAGTACTTTGGGAGGCCGAGGCATGTGGATCACTTGAGCTCAGGAGTTTCGAGACCAGCCTGGGCAACAGAGTGGCACCCTGTCTCCACACACACACAAACACACACACACACACACACACACACACACAATTAGCTGGGTATGGTGGCATGCACCTGTATTCCCAGCTACTAAGGAGGCTGAGATAGGAGGATAGCTTGAGCCTGGGAGGCGGAGGCTGCAGTGAGCCAAGATTACTCCAGCCTAGGTGACAGAGCTAGACCCTGTCTCAAATACAAAAACAAACAAACAGAAAGAATTAACCTGGAACACTATTGTTGCTCAGGGGTCTTGCATCTTTACTGAATTTGTATATCAGTTCTAACAGTTTTTTGCTGGAGTCTTTAGAATTTTCCAAATATAAGATTATATTGGCCAGGTGTAGTGGCTCACACCTGTAATCCCAGCACTTTGGGAGGCTGAGGTGGGCAGATCACATGAGGCCAGGAGTTCAAGGTCAGCCAGGGCAATATGGTGAAACCCTATCTCTACTAAATATACAAAAATTAGCTGGGCGGGATGGTGCATGCCTGTAATCCCAGCTATTTGGGAGGCTGAGGCATGAGAATTGCTTGAACCTGGCAGGTGGAGGTTGCAGTGAGCCAAGATCACACCGCTGGGCAATACAGCAAGACCTTTCTCCAAAATAAAACAAAACAAAAACATATCATCTGCAAACACGGATAATTTGAGTTCTTCCTTTCCTATTTGGATGCCCTTTATTTCTTTTGCTTGTCTGATTGCTCTAGCTAGGGCTTCCAGTACAATGTTGAATAACAATGGTGAAACGCAGCCATCCTTGTCGTGTTCCAGGTGTAAGAGGAAAGGCTTTCAGTTTTTCCCCATTTAGTATGATACTAGCTGTGGGTCTGCTGTATGTGGCTTTTATTTTGTTGAATTTATGTGATTCTTCTTTTGAGCCAGGAGTAATTATAAACACATGTTCTTAGCCATTATGACACAGTTGCTTCTCAGTTAATTCAACCCTTGGTCAAGGATGATGTGCAGGCCGGGTGCGGTGGCTCACGCCTGTAATCCCAGCACTTTGGGAGGCCAAGAAGGGTGGATCACTGGAGGCCAGGAGTTTGAGACCAGCCTGGCCAACATGACAAAACCCGGTCTCTACTAAAAATACAAAAATTAGCCGAGAGTTGCGCATGCCTGTAGTCCCAGCTATTCAGGAGGCTGAGGCGGGAGAATCACTTGAACCTGGGAGGTGGAGGTTGCCAGTGAGCCTGACGCGATTCGTGCCCACTCGCCTCCAGTCTGGCGGCCGACAAAGGGACGACTCCTGTGCAGAAAGAACAGAAAGGAAAGAAGAAGAAGGAAGGCAGAGAGAGCGCGACCCGCGACACAGAACAGAAAAAGAAGAAAGAAGCACGAAAGAAAGCAAGAAGCAACCGCAAGAACGGAACGCCACGGCCCGAAAGAAAGCACAGCAAGGCAAAGAAAGAGAGCAGCAGAACGGAAGGAAGAAGGAGAGAAAGGAAGGAGAGAGAAGGAAGGAAGGAGGAGGGAAGGAAGGAACGGCAAGCAGGAGGGAGGGACGGAACAGCGAGAGCGCGAAGGAACGGGAAGGACGCCGACTTCTTGCCTCGGCCTACCACAACGATACGCCCCTCGCCTCAACCGCGTCCAGCTTGTTCTGTTCCAGTGATGTTGGCCCTTGGGATCTGCTGAGAAGTAGAGTGGTGTAAAACAGTGTTTTCTTGAATATGGAACACATAGCACCAGTTGTGCATGAAATGACTGAGGAAGTTCATGTTCATAGCATTAATATTTAATCACCATATGAGAAAGTCAGTCTTTCTGATTTTATGTGCAGGAACGCAACAAAAGCTACCCAGAATTGAATCACATTCTTCTAATTGTATACGTGTTTAAAGCTACCTTTTTTTTAATGATAGGCGATCATTCTGGTTTCATTTACAGTAAGGATAAAAACTTTCTATTATGAAGTATAAATTTTAAAAATTAGTCAAAGAAAAAAAATTTTTTTGAGATAAGAGTTTTGCTCTTGTTGCCCAGGCTGGAGTGCAATGGCACAGTCTTGGCTCACTGCAACCTCCGCTTCCTGGGTTCAAGCGAATCTCCTGCCTCAGCCTCCCAAGTAGCTGGGAGGCCTCCACCACCATGCCTGGCTAATTTTTGTATTTTTAGTAGAGACAGGGTTTCACCACATTGGCCAGGCTGATCTTGAACTTCTGACCACAGGTGATCTGCCCACCTCGGCCTCCCGAAGTGCTGAAATTACAGGCATGAGCCACTGTGCCTGGCCTAAAGAAAATATTAAGTAACGTTTAGGACAGAAGGAACACAACTGATGAAAAATTGAGAAGATGCATGGTGGCATGTGTAGTGCACACCTACCTAAAGTTTGGGAAAAGTTGGTAGAAGGGAAGAAGGTGTGAATTTGAAGTCAGATTCAAATCTCCTTTCTACCACCTCCTAGCTATATGGCCGAGGGGTATCTCAACCTCTCTGAGTTTGGTGTGCTTATCTGCTGAATGGAGATTGTAATAATAAGCATTACCTTGTACTACTGTTTTGAGAGTTAACCAAGGCAATGCAGGCCTGATAAAGACTTTACAAATGGTTATGTACCACTGTTGTTATTATTTTACTTTATTTTTTCTTTTTTTTTTTGAGATGGGGTCTCACCTCAGTTGCCCTGGCTGGAGTGCAGCAGTCTGATCTCGGTTCACTGTAACCTCAACCTTCCAAACTCAGGTGATTCTCTACCTCAGCCTCCCAAGTAGCTGGGAGTATAGACACATCACCACATCTGGCTATTTTTTTGTATTTTTTTTAGTAGAGATGGGGTCTCACCATGTTGCTAAGGCTGGTCTTGAACTCCTGGACTCAGGCAATCCACTTGCCTCAGCCTCCCAAAGTGCTGGGAATACAGGCATGAGCCATCGCACCCAGCCTGTATTTTTTTAAAATTATTTTTATGCATCAAGAGACTTAATCTATTGACTTCATATGCATCTATTTTTTGGCCTCTATGCCTTTGTCTTCCCATTTGTAAAAGAGTCTCCATGGATGCCTTCCAAAGCTACATCCTGAGGCTGTGATTCTATTTTGCTGACACCCAGTTCCTCCCTGCCTTAATGGATTATCAGATTCAGCCAGGGACAATCAGATACTAGACTCAGTTTAAAACAAAATTATAGAGAAGCAGAAAATGGACAGAAAATGGACAAAATTCTACAGTTTATCAACAGGTTCGATTAATATTCACCTGCCACAGCTGGGCACAGTGGCTCATGGCTGTAATCCCAGCACTTTGGGAGGCTGAGGCGGGTGGATCACTTGAGGTCAGGAGTTCAAGACCAGCCTGGCCAACATGGTGAAAACCCGTCTCTACTAAAAATACAAAAATTACCCAGACAAGTGTGTCTCATGCAATATTTGGGACATACTTATACTAAAAAATTATTTGTTGTTTATCTGAAGTTTAAATTTAACTGGTTGTCCTGTCCTGTGTCTATGTTTGCTGAATCTGGCAACTCTACCCTGACAGTCACAGAATTAGGTTACTATGTTTCTCCTCAAATTCACAAACTACTGGATCTAAAATCAGAGGCAAATCCAGGTTCTGATGGGTCTGAAGATTTGAGGTGACTCTTTAAGACTAAGAATACAAAATCACAAATTACAAATGCTAAATTAGCTACAAACATGAATATTTATTCCAAATGAGAAAATGCGTTATTTTTGCAAGTTTTATAGAACTATATGATCCCTGCTGTAAGTTCACTTCCACTTCTTCTTCTTTTCTTTTTTTTTGAGACGGGGTCTCACTCTGTCTCCCATGCTGGCATGCAGTGGTGCGATCTCAGCTCACTGCAGCCTCTGCCTCCCAGGCTCAAGTGATCTTCCTGCCTCAGCCTCCTGAGTAGCTGAGACTACAGGTGCCTGCCACCACGCCTGGCTAATTTTTGTATTTTTTGTAGAGATGGGGTCTCGCCATGTTACTCAGGCTGGTCTCAAACTCCTGAGCTCAACTGATCCACCCACCTCGGCCTCCCAAGGTGCTAGGATTATAGGCGTGAGCCAGTGCGCCCAGCCGATAAGTTCACTTCTGACTAAAATACTGAACAACTCTCCATGGGAATCATCCAGAAATGATGATGCCAAAAAGTGCCTGTGGGAAAATTATCCATGAAAATCAAAGATAATCCAAGAAAGAAGAAAAAAGCCAAGCCCGAGCCTCAAAACCATCCTCCCCAAATATCTGTTTTTAAATCATTATTTTCAAAAGTTGTAATCTTACTTTTTCGTAACAGAGCCATGTGTATTCACGCAGATAAGAACCGTAAC